ATATATTTTCAATAGATAGACTGCATTTTTTGTTGCACAAAATTAATTTAATTAATTTAATTAACAAAATATATAAGAATTTTTATAATAATCTTTTATAATTATGATTAATAATATAATTAATATAAGAATGTACTTAATCTTATTTTATATATATATATAATTATATATTTAAATATATAATTTTATATTTAAATATATAAAATATTAATATATTTGTGACATACCTTTGGAGAGTCAACTCTGAAGGCCAAAATAAACACAAAAGTTGCTATATAAAAATATCGGTTGGATCTTATTTATTAAATTATAAACAATTGAAATTCGCATTAGATAAAGCAAAACAGGAATAAAGTGCATTGACAATATAATAGAGATAAAATGATTTTGCTCTATTTCCGTTTAATGCAAACTTCAATTTATAATTTAATAAATAAATCTTAACCGAAATTTTTGTTAATTTTTGTATTCAAATGTTAATATTTTTTCAATCCAAATATTGATATTTCATATTGATATTTTATGTGATAACATTAAAATATTGATACTTAATCCATAAATATCGAAATTTCAATATAATTTATTTTCTATAATAGATTGCAAAAAAAATGGACTAATCGCCAACTTTTCATTTGATTAATTTTTTTTTTTTCAATCTTTTACTTGAGAATTTGTCTTATAATCCGTATTATTAAGTTGGAAAGAAAGTTCTTGCGGTTTTTAACTATTAAAATCAATGCACATATTTTAGTTTAAACAAAATTTTATTAATCAAAATAAAGACCATTGCAATCAATGCACTTTTGCCAACGAGAAACAAGTTTTGTTATTCCAGTTGAATAAAATTCTGGAGTCCTGGAACTGAAATAGAAAAATTATTCGAATTTGCTTCTTGTCCATTATGTTTTCAATACCCTGAGAAATCAGAAAAACTAATTTGAAAATAAAATTATCACATTTTCACAGAATGAAAAATACATTTTAAAATTATGTACGAAGTCAATGTAATTTAATATCAATCGAAAATCTTAATCGAAAATAGAGCATTTAAAATCAAAATAACAAACATCATAAGAACTTTCCAACTTAATATCTTAGATAAGAATTAAGAAAGTAGTAATGTAATGGATATAATTTGAAAGAAGAAAATCTATTAAGTTAAAAATATTAATGGTTATTATTTTTAGATTCGTTGTCTATTGAAAATTGACATTCCGAGTAAATAATTCTATAATATATTTTTAATTATTCTATAATTGAAACATTTATTTTAAATAAGTGATTTACTTTTATTATTAAATTTTATTATTTTTAATTATAAATATCGTGATACTAATGATATCAATATTTTATTCACGAAATATATATGTATTGATATTGTAAGTATCTAACGAAAATTACGACTAAATAATTTGTTATTTATAGATAAAATCAAAATAATTTATGATGTTTTTGATGATTTATATACTGAATCATGTAATGATTTAAGTATTTTTATAATCATTAATTACTAATTAATTATTAAAACATTTATAGCCACATTTTTTTTTTCTATTTGTTTGCTCAAATTGTTAATAAACTTCCTTAGAATTTTCTTTGATGAGTCAAAATATAATTAATCTCATGCATTTTTTTTTTTATATATATATATAAAAATTTCTAAAAACATCAGGCCATGAAATGCAGAGAATAATAAATCCTGGCAAAAAATTCAAGAATTTAATCAAAAAAATATTTAACACTTATTTCAGAATCTTCGTGATATCCAAATTGCTGGAAATTGAGATACATATTATTTAATATATTAATGTACTATTCTTGGAGTCTATTTTAAAAATATATTTTTTTTTTATTATTATATAATTTATAAATATTTGCAAGAGAATAATCCAAAAATTAAAAGATTTATTAAGCTGAACTTAACTGTGCAATATTGAGATAGAAGAAATAGAAGAAATTTTAGAATATGATTTATAGAAATATAAGAAATTATTCACAGTTATAAATAAAAAAAAACTAATAATAAATAAAATAATGAATTGATTATATATTTATATTCTTCTCTTAACTTATTAGCCACATCACTATTAGAAAAATGAGAATAAAATTAATATTTCTATTAATATTTATATATAAACTAGAATTTTTTTATTGATGATTATTGCTTTAATTTTTTGTAAAAGATTTTTTTTTTCAAAAGTAGGAGTAACAATTACCAAAAATTAAAAAATTTTAAATAAATATCTAGAAAATATTATTCTTAAAAAATCCCAAAAAAATTATTTCTTAATTAAATTACATTATTTATTTTATTTCTTGAATTTTAAACTTTTGTTGTTATTTCTTTAATTCTTTTAATTTTTTACTATTCTTCTGCTATTTAAGTTATTTTATTTATCTGTAATCTTTATTACTTTTATATATTATATATATTTCATTTATATATTTATTATATATATATTTAATATATATATTATTATACAATTTATATATTATATAAATATTTAAATAAAAAAAAATTATATATAAATATTTAAATAAATTTAAATAAAAAATATATATAAAGTATAATATTGTATTTTATTTTTTCTTAAGATATAAATAACTTTTGTATTCAAACTAAATTGATTCATCCTATCCTGTTGATATCTATATATAGCATTTTTTTTATTTTCATATGAAATATTGGCTATTAAAATTAAAAAAATATAATTTAAATAGATATTGATATTTTTATTTTGATATTGAATGAATTTTAATTTTAGTACTGAATCATATAATATAAGTAATGAATAATAATATCTTATACTTTCATGGTATCGATTCATCCCTATCAACTGTTATCATTTCAACAATCTTTTTACCTGCATTTCCTATACAATATGAATTTTTTATAAATGAATGACAACATTTATATCCCCATTTACCAGTATGCCAGTAAGATCCCCAAACAGAATTATGATTATTTGGATAAATGTCTTCTTCATATTTTGATCTAATTATTTGTCTATCCTGTCCTTTAATAATCTGAATAAATCATAATTATTATATTATAATTATCTTCAATAATATAATAATATATATATGCATACATACCTTTCCATATCTAGAATATTCAACATATTGTTCCGTTTGTGCTAATAAAAGAGAAGGTGGAGGAGCATTAAGATGTTCTTCACCTCCATATGTACTAATTATGCTTTCACGAGTTTTATCTTTTAATTCATCACGCTTTTTATCATATTCCTGTTTAAGCAATTCTAATTTCGTAGGTTCTGCGAGCAAATGAACATCAACACCTCTTTCATGTGCTTCCCATGCAAATAATTGTGCATTTGCATGTCGTTGTGTATCTCCCGAAAAACGTGCGAAGTTTTCACCTTTATAATCTACCCTATAGAATGTTATTTTTAAAAATAAATATAATTTGTAATATTTTTTTATGTATTATTATTTATTAAATTATTTATTATATTAAAAAGTAAAGAAATTTATAAAATAATTTTACATACTCTCTATCTGTACCAGCATAAGGATTATCGCGCATAGATCTTGTTTTAGGATCATAATATGCTGAATTTGGATCCAAATTTCTTAAATATTTTGCTGTATCTTCTCTAATTCGTAAATTTCTAACAGTAATACGTTGTTTAGAATCTACTTTTGTTCCAGGCATATCAACTTCATCAACATATTTATCTTCATCTTTATCTGAATCTTGTTCATCATTTTCTTCTGCATTTAATTTTTCTGCACGCATTTGTCTTTTTGCTTCTTCAATCTTTTGATATTCTTCAACAATAGCTCTATGTTGTGAAGGATCGTAACCAGCCCATCTGCATATTAAAGAAATATATTTAAAATATTATTATAAAATAAATCTTACAAATTAAAAAAAATATATTATATAAAATATATCTATTAAATTACCTATCTAATCCTAAAAAAATTACCTGTCTCTTTTGCCATCATAATCTGTAGATAATTCTGGTTGAGTAAATTCATCTGGTGCTATATTTGCATTTGTATATTTTGCACCTATTTTACGTGGACGTTCCATACATTCTTTTTTTTTATGAGTTATTGCTCCACAATTTTCACATGCTCCTTTACGATATTTACTTGCTACTTTAGATGAATCTACACCACGTTTGTACCATTCATTTATACCACTATATTTCTTTTGTTTTTCTGGTTGTGGTCTTTGATGCTTTAAAGTAGGTCCCTTAAAAAATTATTTATAAGTATTAATTTTATTACAAAAAAAATCAATTTTATAAAAGTCAATACATACTTGAGCTCCAAAATACCATGGTGTAGCACTAATATATTGTGGTATATGTGGATTAATATCTTTGCCTTCTTCATCTACTGCAGCTGGTGCTGTACCAGCTTTTCTTGCTTCTTCCAATTCTTTCGCTTTCCTCCAATCTTCTCTACTTTTTTTCTTTGGTTCATCTTCGAAATTGCTTTTATTTTTTATAATTTTTGATACAGGTACATTAGCTAAAGTATTAGCCATTTTATTAAAATAATTAATAAAATAGTTAAATTAATTTTAATATTATAATATTATTTTTCACTTATAAATATATTTTAAGCAAAGTATTAGAAATAATCTAATAATATATAATATATAATATATATGATATAATATATAAATTTATTGGAAAATATTCGAATTTGACATTAGATTATAATCTAATAGATTATAGAAGTAATAGATTATAGTAGATTATAAAATAGTAGAAGAACAAACTAATTGAAAAACCATAGTTCCATCAAATCAATTCAGTTGGCAATCCTCAATTTTTCTCTAGTTTTCTCTTTATTTCCACTCTATTTCTTCCATATCGAATTTTATATCCCTTTCGGCAATACTGACTATATCTAATAAAGTATATTCAAGATCTATTTTTTAAGGTAGATTTACAAAATTTAATACGTATATAATGATTATATTATATATACATTTCCATTCAATGTAAATTTATATACTTTATATATGTATTTTATAATAAATCATTATAGTATAAAATTCATATAATTTTTTAGTATTACACTAACTATTCCTACAATTTGTATTTTTATTTTATTTTCTTTTTATTTTATTTCATTGTAAATTATGAGAAGATATATGTCAAAAAAATAAAATAAAAAAGTATAAAAAAATTTATAAATTATTATCAATTATAAATGTAAAAATTTTTAAGTTTTTAAGTAAATTTATATTAAAAAAAATTGTGTAAAATTGACTAATGGAAATCACCTTAAAAAGGTCTATTTAAAAAGTGGGAATTTATCGATAGTATTGGACCTTTATAAATAAGTATATTTCAAATTTAATATTTTCGCTACAATTTTTAATTTTAAGTATGTAATTAAGTAATTTAAAATATATGTATATTAATTAGTACTTCTAAAAATATTAATACATTGTATTTTTATTATATAAAGTAGTTACGATCTCCAGCTGCTTCAAGAATTGGAATATGATCAAAATGGAGTCAGTGCCAAATAGATCGATATTGTTCTGTAATGTTACGTATTGTTGCTGATTTTTCTATTTATTGCATAATAGTAAGTAAATACTTACTTATTAAAATTTATTCGTCATATTTTGCGTTATTTACTTAATAAAATGATTAATTGATTATCAACATACCCGCGAAATTTAAGTTCTAATGTTAAAACTGGTTTTTTCAATTCTTAAAATTTATTTTCATTTCTTATTTGCTAATTTTTTTAAAATATTAAGTTTTATAGAAATAAAAATATTATTAGAATATATAAAATACAAATTTAAAAAAATATTAAAATTGTAAAATATGAAGAAGTTACAAATAATTGTTAATGAATTCTATTGCAATTTGGAAATATGTTTTTCTTTTTTTTAATATAGAATAGAGCATGGAATGGATGGATCATGTCCACTTTTGCTTCCATCCTTTGAGGAAAAGGACAATTCTGAAACTTCATATTCATCTCAAAAGATTGGTCTATATAGGCCAACATCAGATACTATTGATTTAGGATATCATACATTAGATAATAATGCTTGCCGTTCATCATCTGCGTCAACTATTATACCAGTTCCAATTAGACAACAAATTTTATTGCAACAGAAGTGCATTTATGTAACAGATTTGTGTCAATTGGATGATACTTTATTATTGAAGATATTTAGTTGGTTGGGTACCAGAGATCTATGTTCCATTGCTCAAACCTGCAGACGTCTTTGGGAAATAGCATGGCATCCATCTCTTTGGAAAGAAGTAGAAATAAGATATCCACAAAATGCAACAATTGCATTAAATGCTTTAACCAGACGAGGATGTCATACATATATTCGTCGTTTAATAATTGAAGGTGCTATTGGTTTAACTGGAATTTTTGCCCAATTACCATTTTTAAGCTTAACTTCATTAGTTCTACGACATTCTCGACGTGTTACAGACACAAATGTGACAGTCATTTTAGATAATTGCATACATCTAAAAGAATTGGACTTAACAGGATGTATTAGTATAACAAGAGCATGTAGTCGAATAACTACATTACAGTTACAATCATTAGATCTTAGTGATTGTCATGATGTGGAAGATTCTGGCTTAGTATTGACATTGTCTCGCATGCCACATCTTGCTTGTTTGTACTTACGACGATGTGTGCGTATAACTGATGCAACTCTTATTGCAATTGCCTCTTATTGTGGCAGCTTGCGCCAATTATCTGTTTCGGATTGTGTAAAAATCACTGATTTTGGAGTACGTGAATTAGCAGCACGTCTTGGCCCATCTTTGCGTTATTTTTCAGTAGGGAAATGTGATCGTGTATCAGATGCTGGTCTATTAGTTGTTGCTAGGCATTGTTATAAATTGAGATATTTAAATGCTCGTGGCTGTGAAGCACTTAGTGATAGTGCTACGTTAGCTTTGGCACGTGGATGCCCACGTTTAAGAGCTCTTGATATAGGAAAATGTGATATTGGTGATGCAACTCTTGAAGCCCTTTCTACTGGTTGTCCAAATTTGAAAAAATTATCCTTGTGTGGTTGTGAACGTGTCACAGATGCTGGATTAGAAGCATTAGCATATTATGTACGAGGATTAAGACAACTCAATATTGGTGAATGTTCTAGAGTTACATGGGTTGGATACAGAGCAGTAAAACACTATTGCCGTAGATGCATTATAGAACACACAAATCCTGGTTTTTCAAGCTGAGTCTTTTAAACTATTTTTTGCTAATATTATTTACAATCTATTTATTAACAATATTTTTGTATG